TCATATCTGAATAAATCCATTTTAGTTGAATAGTTTGATGTACATATATGATTGCATTTTTATTCTTTAATGGGGCTTTGGTGTGTGGCTTTCCCATGTATATTTCTTCATACTCATTTACTTGTGTGCTTGGTGGTGCTTGGATCATAATAAGTACTCAACCGACCTAACCATCTATATTTTAAAATGAATTTCAAATTTTTTTTTTTCTAATGGTGCTAATGGTGATTAAATGTAGAGTATATTATTTTAATTTAAATTCCAATCGCCGGTTAAATGTAGAATGGAAAAAATATGGCTAATTATTCTTAAAAGTATAACATGAACTAGATGCATCATCACAATCTTTTTAAGACAAACAACATACATTAATCAATCAAAAAAGATAATACAAAGTTAGGTAGAATAGCATCCCAAGTACTTGGCTGAAGCTCAGCCCTATGAGCCAAAGTATGAGCCACCATATTAAGTGAACGACAAACAAAATAAAAGTAAAATAAACTCAGTCGAAAGACAATAAAATACTCAAACAAGCATCCATAATCGAGCCCATATACGACAAGGAGGAAAAACCTCTGCCTTGTTGAGGATATAAACCAACATGAGACAATCCGAAAAAACTTCCACTCCCCTATTATTATTGTTATTATTATTATTATTATTATTACTATTATTATTATTATCATTATCATTATTACTATTATTGTTGTTGTTGTTGTTGTTGTAACCTAGGTTCTATTAAATGAACGAAATTACAAGCTCCTGTGAGGTTTCGATTTCTTTACGATTCTTTCTTTCATCGTTTTTATTAAACCGTCAAGTTAGGTTTTCTACATTGGTTAAGGTTAGAATTTTTCATTTCCTAGATGTAATCGAATTCAGAAAAATCAATTAATAAAAAATATTACAAGTCCTAATCTCTTCTCTTCTCTCGATTTGTCGATTCTCTTATCGCCTCAAACCGTGTTCTACTCTCGTATCAATTTCTAGAACTAAGGACGCTCGAAGTCTTTCCTATCCAATCCGAGTTCGTATCAGCATAATTGTTGATTCCAAATAGGGAGCACTTTAATTTGTTTCTCCGTGAGAATGATAAGCACTAGTGGGAGTGTGCCTTTTCCATAGCGTCTCAGGTTTGATTCGATTGGCCTCCAATTATTAATTGTCTTTATCCTTGCATGATTAACAAAGTGTATTGAAGATTATCCATCCACACATGAAAGAAATCAAACATTGGAAACCTAATCAAATTTTGATTCGAAGAACTGGCTTGATCTGATTGGGACAATACCTAAACAGATCTTGCTGGATCAACATCCATTCACTCCATAACCAATCTCCTCTACATTGTCTCTATTCTACAATCAATCCTCCTAAACCCCCCCCCCCCCCAAAAAAAAACCTCAGTGAATCTCATCAATCTATCTGTTGTTGTTGATGGGGAGAAAAACCAAACTAGGACTAAAACATTGAAAATATACCAAAATAAGACTTCCATGTTTTTATTACCGAAATAGAACTTACATTACCAAACATGGTCATATATATTACCAAAAAAGTATAGTAATTTGCACATGTACACTGCCACATTACCACAATGCAAAGTCACATTATCACAATGCAAAGTCCTATTCTGGGAAAAAAAACATGAAAGTCCTACTTTGGTACTTTTTCTATGTTTTAGTCCTATTTAGGATGATTTCTACTTGTTGATGTTGTTGTTGTACTCCCTCCGTCCCGTAAAAAACTTCTCATTTTGACTTTTAAATAATTTAAGGGAAATGTATTTTGGTGTTGAGTTTTCAAAAATACCCTTTGATGTGATGGATAAAGTGGATGTATAGGTAGATTAATAGAGAAAAAATGTGATGTGATAGATAAGTTAAGAATTAAATGAATATGGATAAAAGTGGCTTTTTAATAGAAAAGAGAAGAGTTTTTTTGGGACGGATGAAAAAGGAAAAAAGAAGGATTTTGTGGGGCAGAGAGAATACTATTTACAGGGACTCCACTCTCATTGTCGTTGCTAGGATTGATCCTAAGTTGCTCTCGAAAATTTTGTGAGTCGCATATCTCTTTCTTTGAAGAAAAAAAATGAAAAAAATATTAAATAGTCAAATCCTACTTTGAAAATAAAAAAGTAGCAAATTCAATATGGAAAAAATGGGCTATCTACCTGTTAATACGAGCTACCATATAATTCAAATTTTACAACAAGGCAAAAGCACAATTCAAAATGATTGCACATTTTAAAAAAGAAAGGGAAAATAGAAAAGATGGAGAGAAAGCAATATATGGCATGAGGGATTCTTCTACAACTTTAGGTACACGTATGTAAGTGCATCTTCTTTTACATGTAATGGATTTCACATTATTGTCAATAAAGGACTTTTTAGATTCCAAAAAAACAAATTGTCAAGATAGTAAAAGTGCAATCAAAAGACTAAATGAACAAAAAAAATTGAACTACCATACATGGAAACTGTTTTATTTTATTTATTTATTTTTTTAAAAAGAGTCACGCTTGCAATTTCTTCTTTTTTCATTTCTTTCTTCTTTTACTTTCCCTACTTCCAAAGCTTGTGTCATTCTCCAATGCGGTTGTTGAGCGACGCTCCCTCCACCTAGCTAGCTACATGGCTAGTGTTAAATTCTTACTCCCTCCGTCCCAAATTATTTGTCACATTTGTATTCTCGAAGTAAAATATCAAATTTTTTCAATTCATTTTATTTACATATTGGTAAAGAAATAAAAAATAAAAATTACATATAAAAAAACTATATGAAAAGTTCTTCGAAATAAGAGGTGTCAAGAATATTTTATTTTATCAAATAATCAGTGAAAACGTTGAAATAAACAAAAGTTCCCAACACTGCTAAAAAAGCAAATGTTGTGAATATTTAGGGACGGAGGAAGTACAATAAAAGGTGTTCAGACTATATAGGCTGAATTCCACAGTTGATTCTTCAAGTTGTTGTATCATACTATCATGCACATTTAGTTCTTTAACTTTGAAAATTTCATAAATAGTCTTTCAAGTCATGTTAGTGCTACATGGTTAGTCTTTTAACTTCAAAAATTCCACGGATAGTCCTTCAAATAATGTTAGTTTTGCGTGGTTGGTCCTTCTGTTAATTTTGTTGTTACTCCATTTTTTCATAATTATAAATACACGTGTGAAAACATTCTCTTTCTCATAGAATTGAGTCATAATTTTTGTATATCTATTTTAATTGAATTATATTATTGGTAAAAAAATTCAACCTAGTTGACTGTAAAAAACATTGATAAAAAATTTAAGGCGGGGAAATATTTTTTTAATAAAATTGAACTAATAAAAGCAAAACTAAATTATTTTTTTAAAAAAGATTGGAGTAATTAAAGTAAGAGTAACTATTATTACTAAAAATAAACCTATATTAAATATGGTTCAATTATATGAAAAAAAACAAGGAGTTCATCACATGTACTTAAAATGAAAAATATATAAAAATGCATGGATTAACGGAAAAATTAACGGAAGGACCAATAATGCAACGATAACGTTACTTGAAGACCTATTCGTGTAATTCTCAAAATTGAAGGACCAACCACGAACCGCAAAATGACTTGAAAGACTATATATTCACAGAATTTTCAAAGTTGAAGGTGCATATATGTCACAATGAATTGAAAGACCTTTAGCTAATTATACGCATCTATTCTGTACCGATGCAAATGTCAGCGATCGATGCAATTGGTCCAAGGGGTTATAGACTAGCTACTCATATATCTTGGATGATTCTTGGGGCGTGGGTTTCTAGTGATGGACATAAATTAGCTAGGAATAATTCAAAGGCAATTAGTGCATGCCAAAGGAATATACGTAGCGTTATTAGGTTAGTGGATTTTACAGGTGGGACAAAAGGAGAAGCAAAGTAGCTAGAAAGCAAAGAAGAAGAAAAGAAAAGTAAAGGCGAAGAAAAAAGATGGCACGTCCTCAACTTTGATTTTTTACCAACCAGTCAAAAACACCATCCCATATATCCACTACTATTATAGTATTATAGAGAGAGAGAGAGAAGAAACATTATTCCACAGAGAGAGAGAGAGAGAGTAATGGTGGGATGGGTGGGTGGGTATTTGAACAGACACTTAAAGTGGGAAAAGGCAAAGGTTTTGTTTTGTGGTATGGAATAGAATAGAAGGCTATATATAATATGCTTTGATTGAAACGTTGCATACATATATTGATCCTATATGCCTATATCTATCATCATTTTGGCCATCTTTCTATAACTATGTTAGTTATTTCAACACCATCGAACACCACGCTCGTACATTCATGTAAACCCACAAACATTGAATTGAATATACATGCATATATATATAGGACACTTATATGACTACACGTAACAACACAAGATAGATGTGAAATTGACCATCATATATACCTATGTTATTCCTACACTAAGGTGTCATGATGTTCTCCTCATCTGATCTGAATGATTCTAATTTGATTAGAATAAATTTTGGTCTTTTTTGATCTGGTCTGAATGTAGTTATATTTAAAATTATTTTTGATCTGATCTGATTCACATAAGAATAAATAATAAGTTAAAAAATAAATTGATGAGAACACAATCAAATACGTAAGCAGTATTCTCCTTTTTCCGAAATACCCTTACTAAAAATGTGGAAGTATATCGTAATGTGGGTTCTTTGAAATTTTAATGAAGGGAAAGATATTTATGTCCAAACATACATGTACATGAGAAATGTGAAAATTGAATCTTGACGGAGAAAAAGGAGACCGAAAATGGATCATTAATCTAGATAGAGAAAAAGGAGAAACAATATTAGCAATTCTTTCCGTCGCTTAAAAATTTTCTACTTTAGACTTATAATGGATTTATGCAATATTTTTACGTTCACTTTTCAAAAATATCATTGATGCAATAAATAAAAGTAGAATGTCATGAAGTGATTAGGTTATTTGTGAATAAATATGATGTGATAAATAAGGTATTAATTAGTTTGGCAAAGAAGCTTTTTAATAGAAAATGAAAAAATTATATTTTTTTCTCCCTAGGCTCTGCGGCTAGGGTTTTCTCCCCAATCTCAGACGGGGCTGTCCACAGTTTTTTTTCCAATCTTCTTCTCAATCCTTTCTTCTAAACTGAGTGGATCTATCATCTATGGAGAGAATTCAACGGGAAATGGCTTCAATTGCCTTGTATGAGGAGGAGAATGATGTTTTGTCCTTCTTATCCGAAGGGGGTACTACCGACCTAGAAGATGAATCTCGGACATGGACCTTAGCAGGACGTCTCTTACCGGAGAAACCAGTGAAGTTTGAAGTTTTTCAGAGGGTAATGGCGGCGGCTTGGAAACCTGCGATGGGGGTCCAAATCGAACAGGGAGGCGAGGGAGTTTTCCTTTTTCATTTCTTCCATGAAAAAGATATTGAGCGGATAATCGAGGAAGGGCCGTGGTCTTTCGACAATTGTACGCTGGTCTGCAAACGAGTGGAAGCAGGGGAGAATATTCTGGCAAAGGATCTGAACTTAGTGGAGATGTGGGTACAGGTACATGACCTCCCGCTTGGATACACTTCTCTGGCTATTTTGGAAATGGTGGGTAAGTCCTTGGGCAGTTTTATTAAACTGGATTCTGCTAATGTGAACCGAGCTTTCAAGGGTTTTTACGGGATAAGGGTTGCTCTTAATGTTTTTAAACCTTTGAAACGAAGACTGAAACTAATAAAATGAGATGGGACGCCTACTTGGGTGAACTTTAAGTATGAGCGCCTGAACATGTTTTGCTATTTTTGTTGGGTCATGGGACACCTTGCTAAGCATTGTAGAGAAGCTATACTCTCTCCGATGAAGCCAGAGCATTATCCATTTGACGATTCTTTGAAAGCGGGGAGTAGAAAGAAAGATGCTGAGTATGGGACACAATGGTTACGATGTGGTCCTCCATCCAAGGAAGAAAGGGAGAGCAACAAAGGGGTGGTGAAGATGGCAAACACTGACTTAGAGGAAGAGGGGATTGGCCTTATTACAAAACGTAAAAGGGGAGAGAACTCTACAGCGTACTCAGGAGATGATGTCATGGTGCTTTCGGATAGTTCAAAAAACGTGGTGAGGGCAGGTCCTGGACTCCAGGCCTGCCCAGAGCAATGAGTACCCTGAGTTGGAACTGCCGTGGGTTGGGCAACCGACGGACAGTTCGTGAATTAACGGAGGTTATCTCCGCAAAAAAGCCCGATTTTGTTTTTTTGATGGAAACCAAAGGTGACCGGAGGTGTGCTGAGGAGCTGCGTGTGAAGGTGGGTTTTGAGGGAGTTTTTGTTGTAGATAGCATTGGACGAAGTGGGGGATTAGCTTTCTTTTGGAGAAAGAACTCTACAGCTCGTTTGCTCAGTTATTCGCGATACCATGTTGATATTGTTGTGTCAATTAGAGACTTCCCCCCTTGGCGACTTACGGGATTCTACGGGAATCCAAGAAGAGATCAGAGATAGGCTTCATGGGAGTTATTAAGATCTTTGCAGCAGAAATCTGATCTTCCATGGATTGTTGTGGGTGATTTTAATGATTTATCCTTAGCATCAGAAAAACGTGGGGGGAACCCCCACCCCCCATCATTGCTGGAGGGTTTCAACTCAGCTTTGTCGGATTGTGGTTTGTCTGATCTTGGGATGAAGGGCTACCCATTTACTTGGGAACGTGGAAGGGGATCCGACTCTTGGATTGAGGAACGTTTGGATAGAATGGTTGCCACAAGTGCATGGCGTCAACTTTTCGGTCAGGCTATAGTGTTCAACATTCTCCTACGGCAGTCAGATCATTCGGCTATTTTCCTCTCAATCCACAAGCCTCATAAGGTTGCTCGTTCTTATCGCTTCCGTTTTGAGAATGCATGGCTCAGAGATGCAGGTTGTAAGGAAGTTATTTCGGCTGCATGGAGGGAGACAATGGGGATGGATTTACCTCAGAAATTGGAAAGATGTGGTAGTAAGCTGATGACTTGGGGGGGAGAACACTTCCATAGGTTTGGTAAGAAAATAAAAAGTTTAAAGGCGGAGGTGAATAAATTTCGTGATAAAAGAGATACAGAGGGCCTCCGAAAGTTCAGGGAGGCAGACGCTAAACTCCATCTATTGCTTGAACAGGAGGATGTTTACTGGCGTCAACGGGCCAAACAACATTGGCTTCGCTCTGCGGATGCGAATACACGTTTCTTTCATCAGTATGCCTCACACAGGAGGAAGAAAAATTTGGTTGAAAAGCTAAAGGGTATGGACGGAACTTGGTGTACTGGAGAGGACTTGGCTAGAGAAATCCATGGCTACTATAATAACATCTTCTGTTCAGAGGGTAGTGGTAATTCCAACTTTTTTACTACTATTCCACAGAAGATTTCTAACGCCCTCAATTTGACTCTTCTGAGTCCTTTTACAGAACAGGAGGTGAAAAGGGCCATTTTCTCCATGCATCCGGATAAGTCACCAGGTCCTGATGGGATGAACCCCGCTTTTTATCAAAGTCATTGGAACATAGTGGGGAAAGATGTGGTAGACTTTGTATTAAAATGTCTTCAGTCCTGTGTTCTCCCAGTGGGACTTAATGATACAACGCTGGTGCTCATCCCGAAAAAAGAAACCCCTGAGACAGTTGCTGATCTTCGTCCAATTGCCCTTTGCAATGTCATTTATAAAGCGTTGGCCAAAGTGCTAGCTAACCGTTTAAAAAGAGTGTTGAAGGATATTATTTCTGAGACTCAATCAGCTTTTGTCCCGGGGAGGCTTATTACCGACAATATTCTTTTGGCGGCAGAAATGGGACACTTCCTTCGCAGAAAACAAGTTGGGAAAGTTGGTTGGGTCGGATTAAAATTGGACATGGCCAAGGCATATGATCGCATGGAGTGGAGTTTCTTGAGGAAAATGATGGAGAGGTTGGGCTTTGCGGACAGATGGATTAATTTGGTGATGATGTGCGTCACCACTGTTAGATACAGAGTTCTTGTGAATGGCTCCCTCTCAGAAGAGATTGTCCCATCTCGGGGGCTTCGTCAGGGTGACCCTATTAGCCCTTATCTTTTCATCTTGTGTGCAGAGGGCCTTTCTCTTTTGCTGCAAAATTCTGAGAGGGGGGGTCTGATCCGTGGCATTAGAGTGGCGAGGGGTGCACCATCAGTTTCACATTTATTTTTTGCAGACGATAGCCTCTTGTTCTTTCGGGCTCTTGAGGAGGAGGCTAGTCAAGTACTTTGGTGCCTTTCGGAGTATGAAAGGCTCTCGGGGCAGGTTATAAATTTTCATAAATCCAGTGTATGCTTCAGCTTGAACACACCAGAGGCCGTTCGAAGATGGATTTCGAGCTTCTTTAAAGTTACAGAAGCCGAAGACTTTGGCAAGTATCTGGGCTTACCCTCTTTCTTGGGTAGAAACAAAAGAGCAGTTTTCTCTTATATCGCAGACCGGATACGTCAACGTGTGACATCATGGAATAAAAAGCTACTTTCAAAAGGAGGTAAAGAAATTTTACTTAAATCGGTGGCACAAGCAATGCCACAATTTACCATGAGTGTATTTTTACTCCCACTGTCTTTATGTCATTCCATTGAAAATCTCTTGAATTCTTTTTGGTGGAATGGCAAAGGTAATCATGGTGGAGGCATCAAGTGGATGGCTTGGGAGAGGCTGACAGTCCCTAAAAAATTTGGTGGGATGAGCTTTAGAAATTTTTCTGCTTTTAATGTGGCTCTCCTGGCGAAACAAGGATGGCGATTCATGGTGACCCCTGATGCTTTGGTCTCCCGAGTCTACAAAGCGAGGTATTTCCCTAATTCCTCCTTTGTTGAAGCTTCACTTGGAAATACTCCAAGCTACTGTTGGAGGAGTATTTTGACGGCACAGAATTTGATTCGAGAAGGGATGTGTCGTCGGGTGGGTAACGGGAGGGATACCAGATTCTGGGAAGACCCGTGGCTTACTGGTGGGGAGTGTTTGAGGCAATATAAACAAGGGCACCATGGGGCAAATGAATTAGTGTGTGATTTTTTTGTAGAAAACACAGTAGTCTGGGATGAGCTGCGGCTTAGGGCAAATCTGCCACACGGGGTGGTAGACCGCATACTTTGTATTCCTTCTTGTTTGATGCGAAGTGATTGCTGGTATTGGCGAGGGAATCTGCAGGGTAATTATTCAGTTAAAGATGGGTACCGCAAGCTTATGGGAGAGGCGACCCATGTCGCTACGTTTACAAATTGGGGCAGATTCTGGCGTATTCCAGTTGCTCCAAAAGTGAAAGTATGTATTTAGAGAGCATTAAGGGGAGTTCTTCCCACCATGGGAGCTCTCAATTTGAGAAGAGTGGAGATTGTAGATAAGTGCCCTCTGTGTGGTATTGATGGGGAGACTGTGGATCATCTCATTTTGAGGTGTCCGTTCACAGAAGTGGTGTGGAGCTTGACGGGTAAGGGGGGAGGTCGGGATTCTTTTGTTAATTTTGTTTCTTGGTTTCAGGCACGCACCCAGGTGGACTCGCTTGGAGATTTGCAAGTCGTGTGCTGGACAATCTGGAGCATTTGGAAGGTCAGAAATGATGTCGTGTGGAATCAGAGTGCTCCTCTACCCAGTTCCGCAAGTAGACTCGCCATGGACATGTATAAAGCATGGTGTGATCGGTTTCAAGCTGGTCAAACGGAAGAGCTCACTCATACAGGAACAACGGATATAGTGCAACAGTCGCCAAGGAATATTTATTGCTGGTTCGATGCCGCACTCTTTCCTCAAGAAGGTACTGCTGGTTTTGGATGCTATATATTATTAGCAGACGGCTCCTTTGGAACTGCTTTTAACGGGCCGATTCAAAGCACCCAAGACCCAGCGATGGCAGAAATCATGGCTTGCAAAGAGGTATTATCTTGGCTTAAAAATAATGGGTTTAGGGAGGTCCTACTTTTCTCGGACTGTTTGAATTTGGTCACATCTTTGCAAGAGGGAAATGAAGCTTCCTATCGTTCTTACTTTGGTGCTTCTGTTGATGATTGCTTGTCGCTTATGGCGTTCTTCGATGTTATTACTTTATCTTTTGTTCGTCGGGAATGTAATAGTAAGGCTCATTCTTTAGCAAGAAGAGCCGGGACTCAATTTCGGGAGTGGGATTCCCCTCATAGTTTCGCTTGATATTTAATGGAATGATTGTTTTATTTTGATCAAAAAAAAAATAGAAAATGAAAAGATTTTTTTGAGACTGGTGAAACGAGAATGAGGAAAGGTTGTAAGGGATGGAGGTGGTACATATTTATTTCTTTAAAAAGGATAGTATAAAATATATTACAGAATAGTCTTAAGTATTAAGTGATCTGATTTGATTTTTCTGAGATTTTACTCCATTTTGACATATTACACTAAATTTCTAAATATCTGAGATGGACGAAAATAAGTTTATAAGTTCTCAGTTAAAGATGGTAAATTCAAGACAAAGGGAGCACGTATAACTTGGATCGGTAAATATGTAAACTAGAAACGGATATATAATCAGATCCTCCAAACCGTACCCAACCTGGAAATAAAGATATCCCATCAAAACGTACGCACATTATAATTGAGTAATTATTAGCACAATAATAATAATCATGACTCTATAATAATCATCATTCTTTGGAATTCACTAACTAATAACTAACATGTTTACAGATGAGTTTTTTCATTCTCTTCTCCATCTTTTAAATTTGTATGAAGAAAAGAGAGAAAAAATGTGAAAAAATAAAGATAAATGGTAAAAAAGGCAGGGGGTGGAGGAGGTTGGTACTTTTGTCTCACTTTTTTTTAACCCAAAACAAAACGAGAGCTAATAAATAAGATTGGGGAAGGAGACATTTTGGTACGTATAAATCCATTTAATGCGTTTCATCAGAAAAACACTACTCCCTACTGACGATCTTTTTATCATCTGATGAACAAACCATAAAAAAAAATAAAAAAAATAATAAATGTATTGTTTGTGGCAGATGGTTTCAGGTGATCAGATTCCCAGCCTTTCTTTGTACTCACCTTCTGCTCACTCCAACTGATTTTTTATTATTATTTACCCTTTTTTATCCAACAAAAAATACAAACGAAAATAATTAGTAGAAGTCAACAAATACGAATGAAGAAGGAAAAAACCAGGAACTACTAGAAAGCTAATACTAGGGGTTCATACCTAAATTAAATTAGCCCCTTAGCTTTTCGCGTGAATTATGGAGTAATTCCGAGTTTAATTTCACATAATTTCACAAGAAATAACGAATATACTCCATAAAAGTGTGGTTCAATTATTTTGTAAATATAGACAATTTTATAACATTCGGAGTACAATGTTTGGTGTACATTTAAACATGTCTACGGTTTCGCACTTTGGAATAATGTGGGTGATTAACGTCATCTTTTTGAATAATTTTTAAATGTTACAATTTAATTAATTTCGTAAACATTAACATAAAAATTTAGAAATATTTGCACTAAATAGCACTAAAACATAAATCATTTTCCAATGTAAGACTTAAACTTTATTATTTTTTAAATGACACTTAATAATGTCCAGAAAGAAAAATAATGTCCTGTGATAGCTAGTGAACGGCCAAATAGCTCCGGTGCCTCCTCTGGTTTGGAAAATTGGCACCAATACTCTCTTTGTTTTCAAAACTTATTTCTAAAGTCCATGTGGTTTCAAAATTTTGCACCCACACCCCTCTGATCATTTTCCGGCCATTTTCCAACGAAGAGATGGCATTAGCGCATAATTTCAATATCATAGAGGGCATTCATGCTCATTTTTTATTTTCGTTTATTATTTGTATTTTCCCTTTTTTTAATATTTTCTATCTCTTTTTCCTTTTCCTAGAATTTTTTAAAAATATATTTTCAATTTTTAAAATGTTTTAAAAATTTTAAAAAAAATTTGTTTGAAATCAAAATAAAAATAAAAAATTAACATACATTACATATATCTCAAATTAAACCTTTTCACTTTTTGTTATTTAGAATAATTTTTTGAAAACGTAAAAAAATTCAGAATAAAAAAAATGGAAAAACAAAATGAAAAGGGTATTCATTTTTATTTTTGTATTATTTTGCTTCTTATTTTATTCCTCGTTTTTTTGAAGTTTTAAAAAAAATACTTTTTTTCAGAAAAAAACAACAATTGTTAATTTGAGACGTAAATATGCATTAAATGTTAATTTTATCAAACAAAAATAACTTTAAATTTTAAGAACATTGTAAAAATAATTTTAAAAAACCTTTTTAATAAATGAAACAAAAAAAGAAAAAAATAAAAATCATCACTGATACCCCCAATGGTTTAAAAAGTAGAAATATTTGCACTAAATAGCAATAAAACTTAAGTCATTTCTCTAAATAACACTTAAATTATTTTATTCCCTAAATAGCACTTAATAATGTCCATAATGTCCTGTGATGGCAAATATTTACTTGAATAATGATTAATGCATAATGACTAAAAGTGCTACATTAGGAAGAAAAATACATGTGGTGCTATTTAGAGAAATTCATTATGTTTTAGTACTATTTAAGTAAATTCTTCTTAAAAAGTATGCTCCAACGCCCCCTTCTTTGCTGGATAAAGGGCCGGAAAATGATCAGAGAGGGCATATGTGCAGCATTTTGAAACCATAAGGACTTTAGAAATAAGTTTTGAAAATAGAAGGGGTATTGTTGCCTGTTTTGCAAACCACGAGGGGTATCTGCGCTATTTGGCCGATAGAAAACATTTACTTGAATAATAACTAATAGAAACTGACGAAAAGTGTTATATTGAAAAATAAAACCAATATGATGCTATTTAGGGCACTCTCAAATTTTAATAGCAAAAAGTGAAGGGTAAATATTTGTGCTCCGATCCCATGTATATTTACTCACTCATAAACTAAAAACCACAAAAAAAAACAAAGCATTTCTAATTATCTCACCATCCGAAACAAAAAAGGTGAGATATTAATCCTAAGTGAACAAGAAATAAAACCAAAACCAAGCTAGGATATTAAACCTGATTGCCATTGGTCTTTCTTAATCAGGATTTAAGGTGATTAATTAGTGAACGTTAAGACGATCTAAGATCAGGAGGCTAATTAATTAAGACTCAACCGCAACTCGCCTTCGTCTTTTCCCCAGACGACCGCTACTCGTTGAGCCTTATTGGGATGATGACGACGACGACGATGGTCAAACGCATCGGAGTTGACTCTCTTCTTTGACTCAAGTGGGACCCCAAACAGCTTCGTCCTTCCCAACTCACCCTCCTCCGCCACCACCTCTCCGGTTGGTGCCGCCCAGACGCCGGCGGCGGTATTCATCTGGTTATGAATGCCAACAACTACTCGTTTGGGGTGGCGGTTCAGGGGTTGTTGATGGAAGGTGATGATTTGAGCCTCCGTCCCCGGCGGCGGCGGCGGAGGTTGGAATAAGTCAGAAGAACAGAGGTTGTTGCTTGGAGCAACGGGCTTCACGTGGTTCTGGACGAAATAGATAATGTCGTTGTAAAGATTCCTCATGTGGGCTAGCTCCGACATCAGCATGTGGTTGCTCCTCCTCAGCCTCTCGTTGTCCTCCGCCAGCGCCGCCGTCATCGACTCGCCGGGGGAGAAACCCGCCGAGTCGCAGCACAAACTGCTCCCGTTCCCGTTCGTCGTCGGCGACGGGGTTGTCGTGGGCAGTTGGTTCTCCGAGGAGTCCGACGGCGGCGAAATGCTTGGCCGGTTTGGGTAACCGGCAAAGAACGCCGGCGGAGGGATGGGGTAGTTGAGGTGGTGGTGGCCGACGGCGGCTTGCGGCGGAAGAGAAGTCTTTCTCCGGTGGATCTCGGACAGCAGGTGCTTCTCCCCTCTTCTGAAAAAGTCGTTGGCGAACTCCCATCTGTCGGGTACTATCTTCCTGAAGCCCTGAGCATGACCGGCCGGCCGCCGGAGAATCAAGAAAATAAATTTAGCAAGCGAAACTCCAAAAAGAACATTTTTTTTAAAAGAAGAAAAGGAGTGGGCGGATAAAGACGTACGTACGTATGTGTTGAGCTGTCGGACGAAGGAGGAGAAGTTGTTGTGCTTGAAATGTTTGGGGAGGATGTCACGTGCGAACTCCGGCGGCCGCCAAACGACGAAGGTGGCGTCGTCTTCTCCCCAAGAGACGACGTGGTCGGTGGTGGGGTCGTCGACGAGCTGGAATGTCTTTGTGAGAAAAGGAGCCGGCGCCTTCGGCGAGTCCACGCCGCCGCGCACCATTATTCCTTCGTAGTTCTCAACCATCAACGCCGCCATTACATACGGAGTTGGTGAAAAACCCTCTGTAAGTTGCGTATATATTCAGTGTATATACCTAAGGAGATCGGTGATCGGAGAAGGCGGGAATTAGAAAAAGTGGTGGTGTAGACACCGCCGGCCGGCGGAGATGAAGAGACTGTGGGTGGAAAGAGGAATTTTTGTAGACAATTGAAAGACAGAGAGAGAGAGAGAGAGAGAGAGAGAGAGAAATGCGCTTGTCGAACGTGTGTATATATTATTGCGAAATACTGAAATTTAGAACCTTAAGGGCCTTTCAAGACAAATCCGTGACAATTACTCCCTATTTTCTACTGTTAACCTGCTCCTTCATGTGTTAAAATATTTGGAAAAATATATTTGGAAACAAGGCTTCATGTGTTAAAGCCTTGTTTAGAAAGATTTTTTTCAATTAGTGTTAGCATTTTGAATAAAATATTAACAGTGCGAATTAATTTAGAAAACGTTAACGCTAAAAGCTACCGTCAGATAGCTTTTTCAAAATGTTAACATCAATCCCTAACGCTAATGTCAAACAGGGCCTAAGACTCTATTTATTTGGATAGAATTTCAAAGTTCGATTTTAAAAGAAATTAATAGTAGTTAGAAAAAACCAGAACAAGTTACAAAATGTTGGAATAGATAATTTTTTCTGTATTTGTAACTTACATAGTACGGAGTAATTGGTATGCAAGTGGTGTACACCAAAGTGATATACCACTAAAATAAGGGTAATTTATCCAAATTGGATTTAAACATATATACAAATATATATGTTATAAAAGTTGTTTTTATATTTCTTCGTTAAAAATGATAAAGTATCAAATTGATAAAGTATCGAAAAAGGACCATAAAGTACCGAATGGTCGGCCCGGTATTTAGAATCAAAATAAAGTAGTTTCCCATACCAAAAAATCTCAAACCCACACATATATACAAATATATATGTTATAAAAGTTGTTTTTATATTTCTTCGTTAAAAATGAATTGGTTTTGAAAAGTTGGTTCAAGTGTAGATGAATACAAATAATTTTTTATTTAAATAATTATTTACTTGAATTTTATTTTTTTGTAGACGAATATAAAAAAATTAACAAACTTTTGAAATATTATTTTGTTATCATTCACTCTTTTTTGTTTGTGAAATACAAAGTATAAATTGAATTAAGTTTTTTAAGTATTTCTTGCATTTAATTATGTGTTTTACAATTTTTTTAATCTTTCTTAATTTGAATGTACTTTCGATTTTTTAAATAAAGAGTTTTATAAATTTCAAAGTGTAAACTAGGTAGGCATATATTTGTGTTCATCTCAATATTACCGAAACCGAACTATCCCGAATTATAGCGAACCAATACTTCAAAATTGGGATTGGTACGATGTATAGTTTCAAATCGAACTGAAATGTTTGGTACAGTATCGATACGAACCAAATATCATATCACACCGTACCACGATAATCTCTACCTGGTCTGTATAAAGGAGGATCGGGGCGCATTAGTGTTGAAGGTGGCCCGTGGAACATTATTGGGCCAAGAATTCTCGAACTCCGTGATAGCTGCTAGCTAGCTAGGCCAGGCCAGGCCCGGATCAGACTAAGCTAAGCTCCTGCAAACTTCATTCTCCTTCTTCTTCAAATAATGGCTGACCACATTTCACATCTTCTCTTCCATTCCGTGCTTCCACCCTGCACTCACTTCAGTCCTCTCTCAGTCTCTCTCTCTCTGTTCAAGATTCCATACATTAGCATAAATACATACATACGCTCCCTAGCTATAGATGACGACTAGATCCATAGATTTTCAAGAAGATTCCATTCATACATTAGCTAAAATGAATTCATGTTATGAAGCACTAATAATGGCGAATCGAGAAATTAAAATGACCTTGCGCCTTAATACGTAGTCATTGTAAAATCAAAACAATAAGTACGTAGATTTTCTTCTAAAACAATGGCCAAATACCTCCCTTACCCCGTTTGGTTTGGGAAAAGAGACTCCTATATATTCTTTCTGTCCTCAAAATGTTTTTTAAACCTATATGTAAAATCGAAACAATAAATATATTGATACGTCCTGGTATATCTCTAGGAGTACTTTGAGCGACTCCTTGTTGTGCCCTCGTAACAAGCCAAATGGCTCCCATACCTCCTGTGATTGGGGAAATAGGCATTTTTACCTCCTATGTTTTTTAAAACTTGTTTTTAAAAATCTCGTGCTTATAAAACCTTGCACATACTACCTATAATAATTTTCCTATCATTTTTGCAGCAAAGAAGGGGCACCGGTCCTATTTTCTACTTTTCCTTTAGTTTTTCGTTTTTTTTTTTTCATTTTTTCTCTATTTTTTTACTCCCTCCGTTTCTCAAAACGGTTCCTCTTTTGACTTTGGGGGAAAATAAAGAAGTGTTAAATTGTAGTTGACTTTCCAATTTTGCCCTTGATGTGATGGGTAAAAGTAAGATGTGATAGTTTAGTTGTTAGTGAAAAAATATGATGTGATAGGTAGGGTATGAAAAAGTAGGGGTAAAAGTGGTTTTTTAATAGAAAAGAGAAGTGTTTTAAGAAAAACAAAAAAAATGAAAGAGGAAAGGTTTTAAGAAACGGAAGGAGTATCTATGAAGGTTTCTTTAATTTTTTTAAATTTGTTTTCATAATTCTCTTAAAATTTAAAAATGCATTTGTTTCAAATAAACTATAATCAACACATACTGCATCTTTCATATTACTGATCAGATGATTTGTTTACCGAAATTAAAAAGTAAAACTTTTTTTGGATTTCAAAAAAAGAGGAATACAATAAAAAATAAAACAAAAGAAAAAAAGATCAAAATGAATATTGTTTTTTTGACATCCCAATTCTAAAGATTTTTTTGACATTTCGAAAAGTCTTTTTTGTATAAGTGTCTTTTTTGAATGTTTCAATTTTTTTTATTTTGTTTTTCCATATTCTTATTTTTTTCTTTTGGATTTTCTTTATTGAAATTCCTTTTTTTTCTAGAAATCAAAAAATTAAAAACATTTAATTTGAGATAGATGAAGTATATGTCAAATTTTCTATTTTTATTTTTATTTGTAACACAAGAAATTTTGAATTTTCAAAAACATTATTTAAAACCTTTACACTATGTTTGGTTCAAAGAATTTGAAAGGGAAAAGGGAAAAAAATGAAGTGAAAACCATTTTTCTTGTTTGGTTAGATGGGAAAAAAGAAAGGAAAAGTGGAAGGAAATGAAAATGAGGAGGCAAAATGTACCAAGTGGAGAGAAAACTAAATTCCTTCCATTTTGGTGAAAAAAATGAGAGAAAACGATTTTCTTTTCTTTTCCTTCCAAAATCCTTGAGCCAAACATAGTGTTAAGGCGTGGGCACAACATTATTTACAATTCTTAAATACTTTTATAAAACCTTGTTGAATAGATTAGAATGTCGTTTTTATTAGTCCACGTTTCACGTTTTCAGGGGGAAGGGCATCCACTTGAAAATCCACTATGAAGAATTCTCAATCTCTTTCATTATATTTGTCCAGTTTCATTGATTTTTAATTTTTTATTTAAATGTGTCAAACTTTAGATCTCAATTATTTTTAATGTATATTGCATATATTTTTTTAAGAATTTATATTGCATATTAATATAATAAAAACAAAACTATAAAAGTTTTTAACACCATAAATATAATGAAATATATTGCATATATTTTTTTAAGAATTTATATTGCATATATTTTTTTAAGAATTTATATTGCATATTTAAATGTGAACCTAGCACTGCTCTTTTCTAATGTAGTACTTAAACTTTTTATTTCCTAAATAAGACTTAATAATGTCTAGTGAGAGGATTAATATGCAGTAATCATGAACATTTACTTGAATAATGACTAATTGATAATGACTAAAGATCAAATATTGGAAAATAAACACATACCTACGGTTCTATATCGGAAAAACGTACGATTTTAGATAGAATTGGACAAATTTAACTTCAAATTAAAACGATAAACGATGCAAATAAATTGGATACAATAGATTGATAGTAGTGAAATTTGCATTTACTAGGACTAAAACATAAGTCATTTCCCAATGCAGAACTTAAACTTTTTTATTTTCTAAATAGACTTAATAATGTCCAATGAGAAGAATAATGTCCAAGTGATGCTGGACATTTAGTTGAATAATGACTAATAGAAAATGACTAATGATCCTAAATTGAGAAATAAAAACATGTAAAATTTGCACTGAATAGGACTAAAACATAAGTCATTTCCCAATATAGGACTTAAACTTTTTTATTCCCTAAATAGGACTTAATAATGACCAGTGAGAAGAATAATGTCAAGTGATGCTGGATATTTTGTTGAATAATGACTAATAGATAATGACCAATAGTCCTACATTGGGAAATAAAAACATATAGTCTTATATTAAGAAAGTCATTATGTTCTAATCCTATTTAGATAAATTACCAGTAAAAACATATGGTCCTATATTGAGAAAAATCATTACGTTTTAAGAAAAGTAAAATTAAGGGGAGATATAGTGACTGATGAGTAGGGATGTAAACAAATCAAATACTTTTAGTTCGATTCGTGATTTGTATTCAAATATAATGATTCGAATTCGCATTATTCAAATACAAATTCAAATTCAAATATCAATTTTGATTCGAATATTAAACAAATACAAATACAAATAGGAGTATATTCGATTCGGGTGATATTCGAAAATTCGAGTATATGTATATACACACAAACCATGTCTCAAGATCAATATAGTCAAGTAAAGTAATATAGATAAATTATTAAAAATTCAACAAATTAACGTAATACCAGAATCTAAAGCATATAATTTTTAATAGTTATATTTTATAAAATATAATTTGTGTGATGTGAAAGTACGTGTATTAATGTTTTTAGATGAAGTATAAGAAGTATTGTAAGTTAAATTATTCAAAATCTATGTTGGTCTATCATATAAATTACGCAGTATGATTATTAAAGTATTCGTTTAGAATTCGTCAAGTATTTGAATATTAATCAAATACAAATTCAAATCTTATTTTTAATTCGTCTCATATTCGGATTCGTATTCGTATTCGAAAAAATTAAGCAAATACAAATTTAAATATCTTGATATTCGCTTCGATTTGGTTTGTTTACACCCGTACTGATGAGTGTGTATATAAATACAAAATTCACGTGTATAAATATATATTTATATATGTATATATATTTAGGAAATTTGAGGGACGATGATGGTTGTGGCGACGATGGGACTTGTGACGACATGAAGCACCCCTCCGCCCTTCTTCTCTTCCACCCAGCTGAGGGACCCATGTACCAAATAATCATCATATCCATCCATGTGCGGAGCTTCGATCCTCAACTTGTACCTCTGTTTCTCGTACTTTTTATTGAAAACCAGCGTGTCGGGCACGACGGAGACGTTAAAGCCCGGAGACGACATCGGTGCTAGCTTTGCCCTGTAGACGGACTTCCCGTCTCCTCCTCCTCCTCCTACGTTAGTTACGATCCTCTGAAATTCTTTGACCCTTCTTCTTGTTGGTTTTGTGCCATTATTATTATTATTTGGTTTGAAATAAGCTATGAAGGACGGGTAGTTGAGGTCCAGCGACGGGGTTGAGCAGTTGTAAGACGGCGTCTGCACGACGGCCACCATCTGCTCGCGAGTGAAATTCATGGCACACAACAGATTAACGTAGTCCTGTGAAGTGAGGTCGTATACCAGCCCGGGGTCGAGGGCCCTGTTTGGGTTGATATGTCCGGACCCCATGGCTAGAGGAGTGGCGGGAGGGCGGGAGATATACCCGAGGTCACGGATGGGGAGATGGGTGTTGTCGAGCGTGTCTGCGGTGGTCATCACTGCGGAGCGGATGGCGGAGGGGCTCCACTCCGGGTGAGCGCCCTTTAGAAGGGCAGCCACCCCGGCGGCGTGGGGGCAGGCCATCGACGTGCCCGACAAGATGTTAAAGTCACTGTAGAGGTCTCGCCCGGATTGGATCAGTTGGAAGACGGGGACATCTCCGGGCCACGATGCCAAGATTTGAGTTCCCGGAGCCATGACATCGGGCTTCATCACGGACGGGCAGCTCCTGGAGGGGCCTCTGGAGCTGTAGCTGCCGATACTCGGTGCTGGTTTTGAGCCCAGTCGCGTCGCCTGCTGGGGCAATACCCGCACCTTTGCTTTTGTACTCTTGTCGTCGTTCTTGATGTAGTCCACCAGTTTGGCCCCTTGTTCCGGTGTCAAGAACACAGACCTATACTCAGTGGGGAAGAATACCCAGTCCGTCTCGTTTGTTACGAAAACCGCAGTTGTCTCTTCGTTAAAACGTCCCTTTTTGTATTTCTCATAGATATATTCCGTTTGTCGGCTGAGGGACTTGCCCTTCTTGTCAAGACACACCACTATCTTGCTGCTGCTGGACACGTTATGATGATGTTGATGGGTTCGATTATGAGAGGACAGTTTCGTTTTATGCGGCGGCGGCATGCATCGTCCGAGGTAAACTAGTGGCATCGTCGTCGTCGTCGAGTTGGGGTAAAGTGATAACCCAGTGACAGAAACTCCGTTGCCCATGGTAACCGTCGCGAGAAACTGACGGTCCACCGTGCCGGAGGCAACCGTGAGAACCCACGGAGTCCCGTTGTGGAGAGTGGACAAGGACGGCCCATCATTGCCCGCAGAAGTGGACACGAACACGTTCTGATCCGTTGCAGCGAATGTTGCGATCGCTATGGGGTCTTCATAGAGGGACAGGCCGTCTAAGCCCAACGACAATGACAGCACATCCACGCCGTCCATCAGAGCCCGATCAATGGCGGCCAAAATATCAGACGCCATCGAGCCTTCCTCCCACAGGGCCTTGTACATGGCGACCCTAGCTCTGGGCGCCACCCCCGACGCCGTTCCCTCGGCATACCCGAAAAACGACGCGTTCCGCACCATGCCGCCGGCGGCCGTGGAGGAGGTGTGGGTCCCGTGTCCATCCGTATCGCGGGCAGAGTTCGTGCGGATCCTGAGGGTGCGGTTCGCCGCAAGGAGCCCCCTGTTGAAGTAGCGGGCTCCGATGAGCTTCTTGTTGCACATGGAAGGGTCGAAGCGGGTCCCGCGCTCGCACTCGCCTCTCCACCTCTTCGGGACCTCGCCCATCCCGCGGTCGTCTCTGAAGCTCTCGCTCTCGGGCCAAATCCCGGTGTCGACCAGCCCGATGATCACGTCTTCCCCGTACCGGGACCGTTCCCAGGCGCGACCCGGGACGGAGTTGAGGCCGAGGAACTGGTAGGAGTGGGTGGTGTCAAGCTTCACCGGTCTGTCTTTGGTGGAGGAAAGATAGCCCGGCGAAGCCCGGAGGGCTTCAAGCTCGGAGAGGGAAAGAACCGCACTGAAACCAGTGATGGCCTTATCGTAGGAATACAAGTGTTTTTCGGAGATGGAGTTATCTTCGTGCGGGTGTGATGACACTACCACTACAGAGGATAGTGTGGCCATGAACCAGTCATGATGGGTTTCAAACTCTCTGGGCTTGGCGGATGAATCCATGTTGACAATATAAGTTTCGGAGGATGACTGTGCATTAACAATAATAATAGTAATGGATGGGATTAGAAGTAGCAATGTTGGGATACAAATGAAGATGGAGGAGGAGATCAAGGAGAAGGCCATCATATATGATGATTTTATTTACTGAATGAATTGATGGTAGCATTTGCTGGTTATTTTCAATTAAGTAGGACGACCGATCATAAATGTGTATATATAGCACTATATGCTTGTGATTTCCCATGTCGTCGAAGCCGCGAGATCCAACAAAGTCAAATGTACGACACTGCCATACAATGTACGACACTGCCATATTACCACAATGCAAAGTCACATTACCACCGTGCAATGTTTTATTTTGGAAAAAAAACATGAAAGTCCTATTTGAATACTTTTCTCTATGTTTTAGTCCTATTTATGATGATTTCTATATTAATTACTCCCTCCCTCCTCATTTATTGATTTTTATGGTCACTTTTTTTTAACTTTAATGGCATATTATATAAAAAAATTATCTTAAGTAGAATTAAAATATAGATGAAGTACTAAAAAAACTCCCTCCGTCCCTGAAAACCTTTCTCCTTTCTTTTTTCATCCGTCCCGAAAAACACTTCTCATTTCTATTAAAAAGTCACTTTTACCCCTTACTTTTTCATACCTACCTATCACATCATACCTTTTTACTAATAATCTATCCATCAAATCATACTTTTACATATCACATCAAAGGAAATTTTTGGAAATTCAATGCCAAAATACACTCCTCTTAAATCCCTCTTCAAAATCAAAACTCCCATGTTTTCCGGGACGGAGGAAGTATATACTACCTCCGTTCCAGAGTATTTGTCCACTTTCATTTTTACACACCATCCAATACACTTTTTTAATCCATTTTATCTTGTAATTTGTATATTTAAAAATTATAGAAATTTGCAGTGAATTGAGACTAAAACATAAGTTATTTTCTATTGTAGGGTTTAACCTTTTTAGTAAATATGACTTAATAATGTCTAGTGAGAAGAATAATGTTCAAGTAGTGCTGGACATTTAGTTGAATAATTACTAATAGATGATAACCAATGGTCCTACATTGAGAAATAAAAACATACTCCCTCCGTCCCAAAATATTCACAACATTTGTTTTTTCAGCAGTGTCGGGAACTTTTGTTTTTTTCGACGTTTTCATCGATTATTTGATAAAATAAAATATTCTTGACACCTTTTATTTCGAAGAATTTTTCATATAGTTTTTTTATATGTAAATTTTATTTTTTATTTCTTTACCAATATGTAAATAAAATGAATTGAAAAAACTTGATATTTTGCATCGGGAATAAAAATGTGGCAAATAATTTGGAACGAAGGGAGTATGTTTCTATATTGAGAATGTTATTATGTCTTAGCCCGGTTTCCCAAGTCATTATTATTAGTGGTATTTACGTAAGCAATGTCGTCAAAGCCGCAAGATCCAACATTACGGTCAAGGCACGCCATAAGACGACAACCAAAATTTGTAGTCAATAAACCTTGACTATTAATTACTCCCTCATCCTAATATTAAATTCCTAAATCAATTTTTATGATCAATTTTTTTAACTTTAAATGCATATTATAGGAAAAAGAAATGATCTTAAATAAAATTAAAACATAGAAAAAGTATTAAACTAAAATTTCATAGTTTTATATCCTAAATAGAAACTTGCATTGTACTACTGTAACACTCTACATGTATATTTTACGTAATATACAAAGTCATGATTGGTAATGTAAGTCTTTTTAACTCCTATTTTGAAAACAAAAATATAAAATTCCTATTTTGGTATATTTTCAATGTTTTACTCTTAATTTAGTTTTTTTCCCAATTAAAAAATACATTAAAATTTTATATAAATTTAATATCAATAGAATTATTATTAAGCATAGTGCGTCTCAAAATATTTTATTTTAATATATATATTTGTATGTTAATAGATATATTAATGGGAAAATTAATTTTATGACAGAGTTCAGGGATCGAGTAATAAAATTGAAAATATATATTGATACAAAAATAAATTTATTATATTTATTTCATAAAATAGTTCCGAAATAGTGTTTTTATCTAGATAAATATACGCTGAGAAAGAATTATCCCCATCCCAACATTATTTTGATCTAACTATTGCATGTACTTGATAGTCTTTGTTTGTGCATATTTTTATTAACCATTTGAGAAAACTTTTACTCCCTCCGTTCTCAAAAAGAGTTCCTACTTTGAAAAAGTGGAAAAATAAGAAAGTGTTAAATTGTAGTTGACTTCCAATTTTGCCCTTGATGTGATGGGTAAAAGCAGTGGCGGAGCCAGGGAAGAATTCATGGGGGGGCAAAAATTCATTTAATAAATAAACAAAATACATAATACTCCCTCCGTTCTATAAAAGTGTTCTTATTTTGACTTTGTGTAAAATAAGGAAGCGTTAAATTGTAGTTGACTTCCAATTTTGCCCTTAATGTGATGGATAAAAGTAAGATGTGATGGATTCAGTATTAGATAAAAAGTATGATGTCATAGGTAGGGTATGAAAAAGTAAGGATAATAGTGGTTTTTTTAATAGAAAGTTGAAGTGTTTTGTTGGAAGTAAAAAAATGAAAGAGGAAGAGTTTTTGAGAACGGAGGGAGTACTATAATAGTAACTATCTTAATTGGCAAAGCGCAACTAAACATACATTCTATTTGTGCAAAGGAGTAAGAGTTGTTTGAGATCGTAGAAAATTTTTTCGAGATGCCAACTTTTGAGAGCGTGACATAATAACTTCATCATCAATAACCTTAAAACAATAATTACATACTCCGTATTTCTTAATCTCTAGACCTTAAAATTACATTAACATTTATCAAATATTTAAATATCAACAAATACACTAGAACCACTGAACAAAATAAATATTCAAAATTTAAAACATAATTGAGCAATATTAAAAAATTTCAAATATTAAGAAATACTCCGTAAATCTCAAAATTAGATAATTAAAATTTACATATACCTAGACAATGAGAGAAGATCCGAAGATTGGACGAAGAAGCACAGCAAAACTCAAAATTGGAAGAATTCAAAATTGGAAGACATCTCCGTTTGCCCGTTTTTGCTACTGCCAATTGCGCCCCTCTATTTTTTTTTCACAATTGGGCTGTTGGGCCGAGTAGGCCGTAGGGTATGGCAGGGTCAATTGGGGTCAAATAAATTATTTTAAACCTAGTATTAAAACGACATCATTTTTGCTTCCTTTTTTCTTTTCCGGAAACTGCTTCGTCTTCTTATCTCATTCGATCGTCTGGACGGCTAGAGCATGACCGGCGACGCTGCAACAATCTGGGGGGCAAATCCGGCCACCCGTCGCCGATTGGGTACCATATTCTCATTTCGCTGGAATTTCGCCGGGGGCACTTGCCCAGGCATGCCCCCCTCTCCTCCGCCCCTGGGTAAAAATAAGATGTGATGGGTAGATTATTAGAGAAAAAGTATGATGTGATAGGTAGGGTATGAAAAAGTAAGGGTAAAAGTGGTTTTTTAATAGAAAGTGAAAGTATTTTGTTGGAAGTAAAAAAATGAAAGAAGAAGTGTTTTTAAGAACGGAGGGAGTAAGAAATTACGTTTATAAATATGTAAGTGATTTTTTTCAGTTTCTATATCAATTTGTTTATAAACTCATTTCAGAAGAGATAAGATTTTACAAGTCGTTCAAAATAAGATCACAAATTTGTACTCTCTCCGTCCCATAAAGTGTTACCCATTTTGACTAAAGTTAAAATTAAGGGAGTGATAATTTTGTGTTGACTTTCCAAAAATACCCTTGATGTGATGGGTAAAAGTAGGATGTGATTGTATATTATTAGTAAAAAGGTATGATGTGATAGATAGGATTTGAAAAAGTAAGGGGTAAAAGTGGTTTTTTAGTAGAAATGGGTAGGGGATTGTGGGACACAATTTTTTTGAAATGTATAAATCTTTTTGGGACGGAGGGAGTATGTTTTTCTCTTGACTGCGGGCAAAATATCAGAATATCATATTTTGGTTTGAGTGTTAGTAAAAAAAATACTCCTTCCGTCCTAAAAAGTTCGACACGTTTCGAAAAAAACGCGTCTCATAAAGTCCGTTACATTTTTTTAAAAAACCACTTTTACCCCTTATTTTTTCATACCCTACCTATTACAGCATACCTTTTTTCAAATAATCTACCCATCACATCATACTTTTACCCATCACATTAAAGGTATTTTTAGAAAATCAACACCAAAATATCACTCCTTTAATTTTCCAATATGTCAATATGTACCAATCTTTTTGGGACGGAGGAAGTATATATTATGGGGCTTCAAATGATAGCTAGTGTGACTAAAAAGTCATGCGTTTTGCGCTCTTGACTTAACAACATCAAAGAGGAATCTAACCTCTTCCAGTTCTATGATCAATCCGTTAGTTTAGCTGCAACAACCGCAGATGTTGGAGAAGCTGTTAACTATTTTGATTGATTGGGATTAATATGTGTTAAATAATGATTGGTAAAAAAACAAGGGGTCACGCTCCTTCACAACACCAGTGGCATGGTGGAGCAGCGCGACAGGGGCTTGAAGAAGGAACACGTACGCCACTTCCGCCAAGGCCCATAAGGGATGGCCTGACTGCAAATTATCATATTTGTCTTCATTTCCTCTAATTTTAGTCGTCCCAAACTGAGATATTATATGCTTATCTTTGTATATCACCAGTCACCACCACCATATTCTTCTTAATCTTGAAAAAAAATGAAGAAAGCTAAGGTCAAGACTCTAAGACATAAGAGACTCTGTATTGAAATGATCAACCAAGCTACATTTACACCAAAAAGTATATTCCAAATTTACATCAAAAGTATATATACTAATATTTTGGTGGTTCACACTGACACAAAGTGATGATGTTTAAACAAAAATTTACATTAACATTTTGTGTCTGTGTAAACTATCACTCAAGCATGACGCTGACACAAAATGAAGGTATAAATCTAAAACCTGCAGTGTATAAATCGGAATACAATCTTGGTGTACAAATAAAATAATTATCCATTCAAGCCCCATTTAACCACCTATCTGGGAGGACACCATGGACATGACGCACCGAGTTTAGATGTCATTATCAAATGTCAAGAGTCAAGTCAACACGCGGATGGAACTA